TTATGCATAGCATCCGTTTCACAATTTCACGATTGCTCGCTGGCATAGCTTAAGACATAAGCTACTTTAACCAGCAATTGTTTAATGCAATTATGCAACGATCCCTCACATTATAATGCCAGGCACTTAAGTACACGCGTGTGTGTGTCTGGGTGGGTGGGTCGGAGTGTGTGAGGACAAGTCAAACCACAAGCAAATTTTGCGGTCGTTAGCTATTCACAAATTAACCAACAAATTATAGAAACCCAAACCAAATGGCTCGAAGCCTTCCAATGCCAATCGGGCAGCGCATACTTATGTATTTGCTTTGCATATAAATGTGTGTGTATATGTGTATGTGTGTGTGCACCACATGTTTATGTTTCTCAATTAATATGACCGCTTGATGTTTACATTTGCGAATTGAATTGGCTAGGTGAATTTGCTAAAGCCCTAACTATTTCTTGTATCAATTAACTTAGCGTGCCTTAAGCTCCAACCATTTAATATTTATACCACAGCATAAGAAGCAAACTAGAAATAACAAGCTCCCAATATGCATAAGTATGCAGGCGGGCATTTGCCAAATGAAACGCATTTCTATAGCTAAGCCATTTGTTGAATATAAATATTAATTTCTATGGACTTAAGGAGAGGCAAGATAGAGGCAGCGAGTGGGCACGTGAGAGAGAGAGAGAAATAGAAGTAGCGACAAAAAAAGAGATAATATGAGAGCGATAAAAATAATGAGAGAAAGATCGAGAGAACGTGAGGAGGAGATATAGATACCAAGAAGAAAAAAATACTAGAAAGAGAGAGGGAGACCAAGAGGAAGATAGAGAGAGACATACAGAGAAACAGAGAGAGACAAATAGAGAATAAGAGAGAGAGAGACATAGAGAGAGAGAGAGAGAGAGAGAGAGAGAGAGAGAGAGAGAGAGAGAGAGAGAGAGAGAGAGAGAGAGAGAGAGAGAGAGAGAGAGAGAGAGAGAGAGAGAGAGAGAGAGAGAGAGAGAGAGAGAGAGAGAGAGAGAAAGATATAGAGGCACAGAGCGAGAGGGAGACAAGAAAGAGAGGGAGACAAGACAGGGAGAGGCAGATAGACACATAGAGAGAGACATAGATAGAGAGAGACATACAGAGAAACAGAGACATACAGAGAAACAGAGAGAGACAAACAGAGAATGAGAGAGAGACATAGAAAGAGAGAGAGAGAAACAGAAAGTGAGATAGAGAGAGTAAGAGAGAGAAAGGAAAAGAGGCACAGAGAGAGGGAGACAAGAGAGGGCGAGGCAGATAGATACATAGAGAGAGACCTAAATAGAGAGAGACATACAGAGAAAGGGAGAGAGACATACAGAGAGAGAGAGAGACATAGAGAGAGAGAGAGAGTTATTAAGGCACAGACATAAATAGAGAGCGAGCGACAGAACGACAGAAAGAGAGACAGAGAGATACACAGAGAATAAGAAGGAAAAATAAAAGCAGAGACTGAGAGATAGAGAAAAGACCTCCAAATGCTTTGCTATATTCTTATAAAATTTTGGTTTTATCCAACTTAATCCCAGCCTCCCCAACCCCAAAGTCATCATCTGCTAGAGAGACGTATACAAAAAACATTGCACTTAAAGAAGTCACCAGATAACGATTCTAATTATCTTAAGACGCTTAGAAACTTATGTAAAAACACTTTAAAGTTAATGGAGAACTCTAAAACTAAAAATGAGTTCGAATTAAATTAGCCACATGATTTTATCCTTGCACTGATCAGAAAAATAATATAATGCATATATTTTTTAATTCAAATATTTATGAAATTAAAGTTGTTTATAAAATTAATAAAGTTTCAGTTTAAAGTACTTAATTTTCATGTTTTTGGAGCACCTGAGTATTACGGTACAGAACATTTTGAAAACCTAACCCGCCCGCATGAAAGAGCTCAGTGTATCATTAAGGAACAGAGCCCAAATGTTAACGAAATAGCGACGACAAGTATTAAATGGCAAACGATAATAATCAGAGCTAAAAGTCATCAGCATAATAAACCCGAGTTTTTACTTTTCATATGCACTGTCGCTCCACTTCGCAGTGGCTCGGACAATGGCAACGACGATGACAGTGGGTGCGGAGGGCAGCAAAACTATAGCAACATTTAAACATTTATGGCAACATATTTGATCACGTTTTCTCAATCATTGCCCTTACGACCCTAATCAAATTTCACCTGATGGGATGCTGCTGTGGCTTTGGCTGTTGCTATTGCTACTGAGGCTGGTCTGAATTGGCTGGAATTTAGCAAAAACCATGGACACATTGTGCACTGATTGCTGGCTGGCCCAGATGTCCCGAGATCCCGGCTGTGTGTGCGTGCGTGCGTGAGTGGGCGTGGTCGTGGCCGGAGGGCAGACGAAAAGTGGAAATGGTACAAACGAAATGTTTTGTTTTGATTACAGCTTGACGGTGGCTGCTTTATTTTATTATGAATCTAATTCCTTATAATTCGTAACATATGTTTCGTACCGGGGTCCAGGCGAAGACGGCAAACAGGTTTTGAATTACAAATCAGCATTTGGCCAACGAAAATTTAAGTTAAGACATTGCTGATGACGTTTAACGATAATAGTATGTAGGGCCTCTGGGCTGGCGACCCAGGACTTGGCTCGCCCAGACTTGGGCTCAACGAGCGCCAGTTGGGCTGCCCATTAACCTAATGCCCAGCGATTTGAGTTTGAGATTTGCATTTTGCTGCGTGCCCTTACTTGGTGACACTTTAAAGACCTGCCAGCAGAAGCTGTGGAGCGAGGCCTGTGCCCGGCCCTTGTTCTGGCCAAACCACCTAACCCAACCACCGCCCATTCGAGCCGCACATATGAATATTTCATTTCAAACACACGTCATTAGAGATGCGGCGTCAGTCAGTGAGATTTCAATATTTTCTAGTGCTCCAAAAGCAAAGCAACGAAAGGCAACAAAGCCATCGCGCATCCGCAACGTGTGGCGCTGATGTCGACGGCGAGGCAAGGCAAGGCGCGTTCGTGCGCGTGGGCGTGCCACATATATATGTATGTAGGTGGGCTTGCCATGCAACATGATGGCAATGATGCTCTGGCATAGAGCAAAGGCATGGCATGGCATGGCATGGCTTGGCATGGCTCGGCTAGGCATGTGCATGTAATTTTGCAAACGCCCCGTTGCAACGGTAGCACCTCTGCTCCAGTTACTCCATGTGTGTGTGGGTCCGTGTGTGGCGTCACCATGTGGCAGGCGCTTGGCGTTTGCTGCTTCTTCAATAAATGCGGCTGCTGACCTATTCTAGCAGTCAACCATAAATCTGCACTGATGATGTACTTCATGGTATTGTGCTTTGGAATTATATCGCATATTTTTGGTTTCTGTTGCACATTCCTTTCTGGCATGCCTCACAGACACACACACGCCCTAGCTGTGGCACACAATGCGCCGCCAGTTGGTGTAGTATCTGTGTGCACGCTATTTCATCATCATCAAGCTGTAGGAACGGGATCAGCACTGCTTGGTTGCAAATTTCGTTAGCTGATGACATGCAGAGCTTCCAGCATGTGGGGCCCAGTAGCCTGACTGGATGACTGCAGGGTCTGTGCTGGAATTTCGACTGCCATCGAGCATACCTGGAGCAGCAAGCAGCAGAGAGCTCAACTTGATCGCTTTCAAACCTGGCCAACCGGCGGCAACACGTTGTGCAAACAAATCAACTCAATCTGCCTTAGTGCTTCACTTTTAATTGAACACTTCTGCAAACGAAATGAAGCAAATTTCAAATTGCCAATAGCCACAGAAGGAGAGAGTCTAAGAGAAACAGAGAAGGAGAGAGAGAGAAATGGAAATGGAAATTATAAGTGTTGTGCATTGTTTTAGCAATTAGTGAATGGCGAGCCACAAGCAAAAGCTGGCTGAAATACGTTAATGCCAAATTGATTGGGGCCAGAAAAAAGCAAACTGGGCAAAGAAAATGATTCTGAGAAATACCTTTTACCATGCTTCTAATTGGTTGCCATCAATTAAAAAGTCTCAAATTTCTACTTATTTTCACTCTCTCTCTCTAGGTATTTTGCTTCCTCAATGATTTATCGTCGAGCACAAGCACTAATTGAGTCGTTTTATTGTCGCCTGTTAACTGTTCATATTTTACTAAAAAATCAGATGAACAAACAGTCGCGACACGCAATTATGATCTACACCCATGTGACCCAATCCCCACAGCTAAATTCGCTACGTTCCGATTAGTGTATTCCTCTTCTCTTTTTTGCGCAGTGTAAATCGCAGTTACACATGCAAATGTGACTAAACCAATAATATGTATGAGCTGCAAGAAGTGCGGGACAGTTAGAGGAGCGGCAGGCGGCAGTGTGTGGGCAGCAGCTGCTGCTGCTGTCGATATTTGTTCAACATGCAAAAGCTACTGCTCGAGGGTGAGACCGTCAATATGCAACATGGCATTTTTAAACGCCGGACATTGCACAATTTATATCCATTGAGCGAAGCACTCTCAAAGGGTGTAATAAGCTATGTAACGGCCAATGGGCGACAATTAAAAATATACCTGGGAACAGCTGCAGCCAGCTAACTGGCAAATGCCTCTATCAAACTGCAAACACGCAAAGCTTAATTAAAAATTAAGCTAATTTCGACTTTCCGCAACATTGTGATTAAGGAACTAAATTTATCATTTTTATCTAATTATTATCATTAATGAAAACAACGATTTTCTTATTTAAAAGAAGTCTGCGCTTGTCAATAAAATTGTTTATTGAAATTTTTCATTTTATTTCGCATCAATTCATAGTTTGAATATTATCATAAATATGTTTTTTGAAACATGTGAAATAAGTTAACAAAGCAGCAGTAGTCAGTGCTGCTTAAAAATAATTTACCAATGCCTAACAAATAAATAAAAGATTTAATTTCATTTAAATGGGATTTCTAAGAAATATTCCTCATAAATAAATAAAAGACTTAAATCAATCTAAAGATGATTTCTAAGAAATTCTGCTCATAAATATATAACTAAAAGAATTAACCAACTTTTAAACTTGATGATGTATTTATCATGTTAAAGTTGACAAAGTTTTTATCTGGCAATGCAGAAGAAAAATATTTAATGTAAGTAAAGTCTTGCTGCTTGGTACGACTCTAAAAAAATGCTAAATATAAAATAAATGAAAATAAAAATTTTAACTTGACTTACAGCTCAAACTAAAGCGTTTTTCCAGCGAAACAAAATTTAGTAAAATTTTTAAAACAATTCTTAAAGTAAAGCCATTTAATCCTAAATATATATAAATTATTTGCTTAACATTTTAGTTACATGGTGACTGCTCTGCGACCCGTCGACTGCTTTGATTGCTGTACATTTTTATATATACCCTTTATCAATATGTTCTGCTAGAGAGCCCAGACGAGCGAGCGAACCAACCCTGCCAAACGAAAGTTAATTGCCGTGCAATTTTTGTATGCATAAATAACGGTAAATTTGTTATACACATCACTTTGATTGCGCACGCTAAATCATCACACAGCAGCAGCATGTTGGCGGGAAGGCAAAAGGCGGCCCATAACCCTAGCCAAAAAACAGGAAAATCCCACACACACAGTTACAGTCCGAAAGCAAATGCCCGTTAAAATGTTTCACATGGCACAAAATATGTTGATAAAAGAAATATATAAATAAAGCACAAAATATACGAATGTAAGCGTGTGAGCGTATACCCACTCACATATTTGGGCATGACACATTTTTATATATTTAAGTCAAATAAATAATTTAAGCACACAAAATGTTTTAGAGCCGAGACTTTTCACATACCCGCGCTCGACACGGATAAACGTGTCGATATTTGGATTTACCCAAAATATTGCGCCATTAAATTGCGGTCTAAATCAATAGATTCAAACTGTATCCGACAAATATTTTCAATTTGTAGATAATTATATGTAGATGCATGTGGCATAGGCTTCTCTTTGCAGTGAAAACTTCAGTTTGAAGCATTTTTAATCATATTGATGGATACGCGTCAATTCAGCTGCACTGCAACTTTAGATACAGTGCCACGCCCTCCAAATACCTCAACACCCACTCACTCACTCTCTCTCTCTCTGCCTGCCCGACTCTTTTGCCATTCACAAATAGCAATAGTACTTGGAAAATGTTTGCCAGCAGATGGAAGACGCTGACAGCAGCAGCAGCAGCAGCAGCAACTGTAGCGGATTGTCAAGCATCAAAAAACACACCACAGAGCATAAAAGCTTAACACACACGAAGATACATACACACACACACACTCACACACACACGCATGTGAAATTCATCTGTCAGCGCGTATGTAGCGCCAAAGCTTATGACGTTAAGCCGTTAAATGCGCCAAATGCATGCAAAACTTTACACAACTGCAACTGTGTGTATGTGTGTATGTGTGTGTGTGCGTGTGTGTGTGTGTGTGGATGTGTCGAGTCTTCAAGGGTCGCTTTGTTAACATGTACAAGTGTGCGATCTACATACATGCGGCATCAACAATTTGTGGCATGCGTCGCAGCTACGTGGATGCAGCAGGCTTTTTTGTATCTGCGCGCAAAACCGGGCAACCGAAAAGCGTTCAATCATCGTTAGTTACCATATTCTGTTGCCTGCCACTGAGGTAAGCCGAAACGCTGCCAAAAAAATAAAAAGAGAAGCTGAAGAGTGTCTCCCTTCACACACACACACACTCATGCACACACCCACAAACAAGATAGCTCAAGTTACAAAACAGTTTGAGCCGAAATTATGAGATGGGCACGGAAGAAAGAGAGAAGAGAGAGAGAGAGAGAGAGCGAGAGCGAGAGTACGCGCATTTATTATTCTCAATTTTTCTTTGTAAATACCCTGGAATACTTGATAATGTATAAGGGTATATGCTTAATTTGTGTAACAGAGCAGGCGAAGGAACTATAATTATTGACCTTTGGCACGTTGGTTAGATTGTTATGATTGTATAGACTGTAGAGCCAGGAGCATAGCAGACAGCCCTAACTTCCTAAGCTCCTTATCTTGCAATCTATAATGGCAGTTTGCTTTATTTATTGCTTTAAATTGAATTTCTTTGAATAAAAAATCATTTTCTGTTAATTAATTATCTACTAGAACTTATTAAAAATTATTATTAAATTATATTAAAATTATATTCTGTTAATTAACTTTCTAATAGTGTCTATAATTTCATTCAGTCACTCAAGTAGAGCATGTATTCGCCTGCTTACCAAACAAAAAACTTCTCAGCCCACATCAATTCAACATTTTTTAGCACAAGTTTCTAGTAGCAACCGCTTAAATAATATCATTTGCTATTAAGCAGAGATCAACTAATTTTTTACTACTTTAAATAAGACTCACCCATCTTCGAAGAGAATAATAAAACTCTTAAAGTTAATTTTTATGCAAAATTAAATCCTGACAAAACTCATACTGAACGATTATTAACAAGTAAGTTATTCTAAATTCCATTTTCATAATATCAAAATCTAGCTCAGCAAAACAGGGTATTTCACAGTCGCGCTTCGACAACACGAAAGCACTTGTACTTATTTCGACTTGAACTGGGTTAGTGCGCGACAGTTCATACAAATTCATGGATGCATGGATACGTTATTGACGTTTTGAGGTTGGCTAACAGCAATTTAATGTAATTAAGCTACACTTCGAGGTTTGCACGTAATGAAATTCAAATTTCAGTCAAAAACGAGCTAAAGCTCTTAGCAGGCAATGGCTGAGCGAATAGTGTGTGTGTGTGTGTGAGTGAAGTTGATCAGGAGGGAAAGAGATAGCAGTCGGCAGGAGCATTGACTGCACTCATTCGTGTGTTAAAACGCAAGTTGACAGCAAGAATTTTTGATTTAACCAAGTGCATGATCTATGACAGCAAATGTGTCCCGCACAAAGGCAGCCCAGGACATAGCCCAGCACTCACACACACACACACACACACATATGCATTCAAAGAGAGAAAGCCAGTCGCAGGATAACTGCGAGCCACATTTGCTTGGCATGCTCCGTCTATTGCCAGTCAAGAGTTAACACGAATCAATTACGACACTGCCAGCCAACGCAGAAAGAGACGGCAAGCAAGTGCTGACAGTGGGTGCTAGAGCAGGACAGGGCGATAAGAAGTGATAGAGATAGAGGCAGTAACAGTCAGTGGAAACTGCTGTCATATGACTTTTGACTTGGCTTCTGACTGAAGGATTTACAATTTAAAGCAAGTGGCCAATAAAGCAGATGAACGACCAAAAACCAAACGCAGAAAGAGCACCAGCAAAATGCACCACTCGAAGCTGCACACACAAACACACACACACACACATACACATACACATGTATATATATAGCTGTAAGTCTACTCGTGTATTCCGAGTACTCGAATCCTAGCCAAGCGGTCATGCCAATATCAATCGACTTTATGGTCCGCTGCTGACAACGACAGCTGAACACATATGTGTTGGGCTACGTGTATGTGCGTGTGTGCGTGTGGGTGTCAATATGAGCATGTATTGGTGCATAGAGTGTGCTGGCTTGATGTAATAAAAACCATAATTACACCATAAATGACAGCTGTTACACCGGCCTTCATAGTTCTAGTTAGATTGCAGGAGAGCTGAACGGACGCATATTAACAGCAATTTTGCAACTATAAAGCAACTAATAGCTGGTTATTATCGTTGCCGCCGCCAGCAGGTGATAAAAACGTGTGCGGCATATGCATGCAAAAGACAATAAATTAATAAGCCTTAATCTTAGATAAGCAGGCCGTGAAGGCTGGGATTATTAAATTAACACCATATCAAAGTGTTTAGCACAGAAAAGAAAATGTGAGAGAAATTTTGTCAGGTTTTACTGAATATTGCAGTTGGAATAGTTAGAGATATATGATAAATATTTATAAAATTACTAACAAGAGTCATGAAATGCTGCAGAGCTCATACAGACTCTCGGATAAATTTATAAATTTTTTTAAAATTATTTAAGCTTGTTGGCAGTGTGCAGGTACAGGCTACCTAGGCTTTTGAGCTGGCAAAAAGATTCTTATTGCTTCTTTTTTAGTCTTTTGCATTAAGTATTTTTTCTAGCTAACTTTTAGTGAGCATTTTATAGTTGAGTTTTCTCTGGATGATAAGAAACTAAATGTGTTATTCTGAGCTAACAGTTTGTGTGATGTGTAAAGTCTTTCGTATCTTTTATTGTGACGGAGTCTTGTGGCAAGTTCAGTTTATAGTTCAGTTATGGTGATATGTTACTTACTTGCTTATTTTGTTTTCGACCAAGTTTATGCTGAAGTTTTTTGAGAGCTGTGAGTTTCTTATGCGGCACTCAGCTGACATGTCTGAGGCAGATGGCAAAATTAATATGGATTTTGTAGGGATGAAATTTTTTGCTGAGATCTCATAGACTCTCTTCCATACTAACAACTGGAGAACTTTTGTATATGAGTATTTAGTATTTAGTTGACAGCTTGTTGCTGGGTTTTAATTGCAAGAAATCTTATGCGAAGACTCAGCAACTATTTATAACAAATGATCATTTTCTTGCTGATAGAAACGAAGATCTCAAGCTAAGTCTCAAGGTAAGCAGTTCCACTGAGCTTTGAACACAGCTTCAAAATAAATTGAAAACTCGAAGAATATTAAGATATTCCTTAGAAATAATCAGCTAAAGCGATATAGCCATTTGCAACCAGCACAAAGTATCAGATTAGTTAGCTTAGTTAGCTTAAGCATTTAGTTTAAAGCAAAACTTACTGCTTACACAACTAGTTAACTAACTTGACTAATCTCAACAATTTAGATACTTCAGTTACAGCTAAAATTGAAACATATCTGAGCCAATTCAATAAGCATTACGAATCGAATCTGATAGACTTGACAGTGCTCTGAATACGATTAGTGCAATTGGAATAGTTAACCGATGCACTGCACGCTAGCTGAACTAATGAGGCCTGAAACTCGCTAAACAAAAGCAGCAAGAGCTGCATAATTAAGCTCAGGTGCAGCAAAGATTTCAATTAGAGCCGCGCAATGGCTAACAAAAGATAACCAACGGCACATTTTTGGTTCGCATTAACATACGTATGCATAAGTATCCTGTGCCTCAGTGCGTGTGTGTGTGTGTGTGTGTGTGAGTGTGTAATCAATGCAAATCGTATAGCGCACATCATTCCCAGGCAAATGCGACACCCACAGCCAATGCGCACAAAGGCAGTCCAAATAGATGCCCCAGGAGTAGTTTTTGCGTAACTCATTATGCAGGAGGAGCGCATTTTACAGAATTACCATTGCCAACACAGTCAATGCAATGGCACACCCACCCACACACACACACACTTGCAACATGCCCAACCAACTAGCCAGCCAAGGCATGCGGCACAGTCGAAAGAGAAGCTGCCGCCGCCGCTGCTGCTGCTGCAGTAAATAATACTGTACAAGTGCTTGGCGGATGTGGGCGGTGCGGAGTGATGGCTGCCATGGCAGCGATATTTGTACAGCGTTGCGGACATATCGCGTTTTGAGCTATCCACAGTCAAATACAATGGGCGCATCAGTAAGTTTCTCAAGCAAAATGTTGCTATTAAATGCAATTACATTTTATTGCTTACATAGCTCGCTGCTGTTAAATTAACAGCTGTTAAATAAGCACTGCATGTATTTATTAATTATTTGCAATAAGAAAAGACTTATGCTACTACAGTGAAAGACTTTTATATTGAAATCAAGCTGTTTATTATTTAACTGAATTTTATAA